ATAAACCGTAATTTGTATATTAACTCTATCGCTGGTATCAGAAAAGCCAACGTTTTGCCTGAACCAGTCTTGGCAGCACCAACTAAATCACGTCCCTCAAGCAATGGAGGTAGAGATTTAGCTTGTATTTCCGTCATCTCTGTAAATCCCATCTCTTCAATGGCTTTTAGAGTAGGATCTGACACGATTCCTTTAAGAGAACCAAACGACCGATCATTCGGATCGCGATTGACAAGAGCTTCTTCTGCAGTTGTGCCTTCTCGACTGGTTGATTGTACCTCTGATTTTTTCGTCGTAGTTTTTCCATTTTGATTATTCTTCAACGGCTTTTTATCATTTTCTTCGTAACCAGGTTCCACGTCTTCATCATCGGAAAATTCACTGCCATCATCTGAATCTAGAAGATATGAATGCACTGTAACTTTACGAGTATCCAAATTTATGTAAACTCATATACAAACGAGGAATCAGTAAAAATAATTTATATCATGAGCTTTAAAATATTCATAAGCAATAACTCGCTATGAAGAACATTCAAATTCGCCTTAAATATCATCACTTTTTTATTTAGTTACAATTATTGAACACATTTAAATTTCTACCAGGCTATACTGCGTACCTGGCTTTCGATCATCCTCACTATCGGAATCTGAATTCACTACTGCGATTTGACGTTGTGGTTTTTTCTTCGACATTTTTGCTTTCTTGGCCAAGGGTCCAGGAGCTTCGCTGAAGTCGCCATCTACCTCATCTACAGGAATACCATTTCAAAATTTGCTCTGGAAAAATCACATCTGTAATGAAACACATACCCTCCACTTTATTTACAGGAACAAGTTGGTGCTGCTTTCCCTTCTTGTTCTCCGCTAGCACTTTCTTCATTTTTTCACGTTTTTTTATCTTTTTCATTAGCAATTTTTCTCGCATAGACATTTTGCCAACTAATTTCTAGGCGCGATATGTTCTCCAAAAAATTAAATGTACCAGCAACAAAACACGTGTATATTATTTTGGCAGAGAGAAGTAGGAATGGCGAAAAAACATCAACGCATCGAAAATATCGATGAATTCCTTCGATGAATCGAAAATTTTCCTTTCGATATGTTACCGGCCGTCTTCACATGCTTGCAAATCTCGCATAATTCTGCTTTTTTCTCTCCCAAGCGAGATAGAGTTTTATTGACTGGGCATTTGACAGCATACTTTTTCATTTGTAAAATGTCGCCAAACAAGAAGGTTCAAGCCTTGCAGGCTCTTAACAGTTTGAGAAAATTAGAAAATCTGCACAAAGGGAGAAAAAGACGCAAGAAACGGTTGTGGTTTGTATTTGCCCCCAAAATAAACGATGTTGCTACTCTGAAGAATTCTGCGAAATGAGAACATAGCTGCAAACAACAAAAATGACAGTTGAAAGCAAGCGAGAGCTCGCATGCCGCTCGGTATGCGAGAAAAAGCATGCTTCGTAGTTTTTGCGGCCTACATGTGCGGTTTCTCGCATGCGTCGTCACGCAAGCGAGATTTTCCAGCACGTGAAGACGGCCGGTGAATAGTGTCAATGCAACGAGTTCTTGCTCATTCTCTTTTGTGTTTTCTATTTGCTTTTACACGTTGCAATTCTGTTGAATTCAAGTTTTTGGTTCTATAAATGGGAAGCAACGAAAATGCCAAAAGCAAAGCAAGAAAGTCGAAACGACTTGACGGTACAGACGCATGTGTACTCGTCCCTTTTCTTCTCACCCCCTCTCTTCCATATGCGAGCAGAATTGAACTCAATACTTGAACTGTGTAAAAGCAGTCAAATTAAAAGAAAACAAGATGCAGTTTTAAAATTGCTATTCCGAGCAAAGTATACTGAATTTTTTTATGAAACTCGGTGGGGATACTAATGGAGGTTTTCTTAAAAAAGGTTTCGGTGCCCAATACTTCTTTATCGGTACCCGGAATTGATTCTTTATATTAAACCTTCGCCATTATATGCATTTCAAGATTGGAAAAAACTTTCATTACTAATTTATATGATATCGGATAAAACACTTGAACTTATCGCAAAAAAGAAATATTATTTTATCAGTTTTAATCCTAGTCGATCCAAGGAAAAATACTTTGACGGATGAAGAGCCTTTCAGGGGGAGGCGGGGGTGGGGGTTGGGATTCTGTAACCAGTTAGCGACAAGTTTCGGATTGATATCGCACTTGTTGACGTAAAAATGTTTCATATCATACGCCAAAAAAACCAATACCGATTCGAAAATTGTCGCTAACTGCTAACAGAATCTGTCGCTAACTGGTTACAGAATCTGCCTACAAAAATGATATCGTCCGATTCAGCTGGAACAAAATTGCTTCAAACAAGTAAGAGTTTCTCTGTATTATGGCCTCGAACCGACATATATACATCTTTCGTTTGAGTCCACGATCCAGAAAATAAAGGTCGCGCCATTCGCGGACCGCTAACCCTCTCTTCGTCGATTTGACAGCATCCACCCAATCGCTGACGTCATAATATACTTTTGCTTACATTCACTGTTGCCAACTTGATGCTTTTCGCACCAAATTTAGTGGGTATTCAAAATGCGAAAATTTTTGAGTTTTGTGCTTGGTGCGTTTTTGGTGCTTTTGTTTTTAGTTTGAAGACTTCAAATTAGAAAATCTTAAAAAAATGGAAGCAAAATGTATAAGGGTATTCATCAAACCTTATAAATGCATTGTAAACCGTATAAACTTATAATTGTGTAAACCTTGTAAATGAACTGTCAAAATTTGTATGGAAACTCGTTTACACATTTCTGATAAATTTATCCAGCGATTTCACTGAATAAACTTGATAAACTGAAGACAATGCAACTCTGTCGCAACTCTAGCTATGTTTTCTTAGGCAATAATCGGGATCCGCATACAAATTTTGCACGCAAATTCAACAACGATATGATCCTGATAGAGATCTGGTTCAATTATTATCCCGTCTGTTTGTTTTGTTTCACTGATAATTCGCAAAGTTTGGTAGCCGTGATAAATGAATTCATACACAACCAGACATTCTGCCACTGTTTCTTATATGTAACTTGCTTCAAATAAATAGCCTTTATGTTATATGTACATTTATTTAAATAGATATCTCGTAAATATAATTTTTTCCAATTTAGTGAGGTAGTTTCTATAATTTCTTTATCCCCGTGCTAGTAGTATAAAGTTAGTGACACTGCGCTTTATAACCAAAGAAAACACGACTATTGTCGCATGTGTAAACGAAAAGAGAGTATGGGTCGTTCATGTAACAGAGTGCATAAACTTATAAGATTATCTGATTGATAAAATTATCGGTTTAGATGAATACCACTTATAGCAATCGTAAGTGTGCTAAGCAATTTTACAAAAATTTAAACAAAATCATGGCACAGTGATAATCATAAGCGACAACGAAATATGTGCGCACCTTCAATCATGCCAGAATAAATCGACCGTTGTGCAAGAAACATTGATTTTTATTAATACACCAATAACAATTTCGTGCTTTTTCAAATTCAAAACTTGGCAATACTGCCTTTTGTTCGATGCTTCGTCTTTTTCTTGTCGAGTTCGTCTTGCTCTCTCATTCTGGTATATTTTGACGTCACAGCCAGTTGCTCTCAGCTCGATTGGCGCAATCTTGTATTCTATCATTCTTGATTTGAGTCAGTATTAAAAGCTCTATTGGCGCCTACATTCGGGTTTTGATAGGCGAGTCTCCCCTGAACCGTTGTTTCCATATTTTTGGCCTATGTGCGCATTTATTCGAAACCTAAATGTTTCGGTACCGAGTATCGAGAGTATTGGACACTTAAAAGTATTGACTCGGCACATCACTACTGCCATCATCTCCACTGTGACGTCAGCAAAACAGCCGATTCTGTCAAATTCACTGAGCCGATTAGCGGTATTGCCATCGGCGTCACCTTCTGTATTCTCTCCACCGTGGCGCTGACATATATTGCAGCACATAAGAGATAGGCGGTCTCCATTGGAAATATATTTTGTGACATGGTTATCACCACCATATCATAACCCAAGAATGATAGAATACAAGATTGCGCCGTCCTGGCCGTTGACATTTGTGTACCACAAGTAAACAAAGAATAGAGCGAAAATAAGAGCGAGTTGAAACTGCCAAAGCAGTTCACTTTACTGCGAAAAACGTGTTTTAATTTTGCTAAACGCGAAAATATTGCATTTTTCTCCTAATCTATTAGAGAAAAGTAGACATTTTAGTGCACTCCATTGCTTTGCAATTGAGCCTGCTTCAGCAAATGTTTTAGTGCACTTTATTGCTTTGCAATTAAGGCTGCTGCAGAAAACTGCAGCAGCATCTCTGCGGGACTGATTAGTTAACTTGCTAATGGAGGCTGCGTGGAGCAGAATCAAAATCATTGTGAGGAAATGCTGTTAATATAATAATAGAGAAACATTTCGGGAATGGCTTTGCCGTGCCATATGTACACAAAATGCAGCGCTACACTTGCATCTACGCTTCTTGCATCTTGGCGGCTGTCGCACTTTAACACACAGCACTTCATTGTATTAGTTTTTACGCAGTCTTCAACTCAAAAATCACTCACAAGTTGCAAATTAACACGATTTAAACTGATATTTCACTTATAATTCAAATTTCTCTTTCGCTGATTTGTAACAAAAGTTTATTTACAAGTTACCACAAATGTCAAAATCGGCGAAACCAAAGTAGCGGTACCACTGACGGCGCCACCTTTGTTCGCTGCACCGTGATCATAACCAGTAAACAACCTTCGGTGAATTTGGCGACTGCCTTCCTCGGGGATGAATATGCTAGGGATGAAATTATTGGTACACACGCCTTCCAAGCACGCAGGGTTGCTTTTAAGAAACAAAAAATAATTAACTCCAAATAGTTTCAAAAAGTATAGTGTAAAACGAAATTTATTGAATAATTCCACATAAAATGGAATACATAAATGACGCATTTTCTAAACGATTTAAATTAAACGCATTTGCGAATTGATAGAAAAGTACTACGGATTGTAAATTTTTGTTAACAATGAAGTGAATGAAAATTTTCAACCCGGCCTGATGGTTTGATTTTATTACTAAGGCGTCTAATAAATTCATGGCTTTTAGTTCTAGAAGAATAAAGCAGTGTTTGCATTGTTCAACTTTGCGTTCAACATTTACGTTCAACTCAACGCAGGGTTGCACGAAAAAAAAGTTGAATGGCTAAATGTTGGCTGGCAACCAACTTTGTTGAAAGCGATTAGTTGAAACGCCGTTCAACCAAAAGTTGAATGCAAAGTTGAACAATGCAAACACCTTTTTTTGGCGAATATTTTGATATTTTTTCATATTTTGATATTTTTAGCCCTTCAACTTTTTTTTCGTGCAACCCTGCGCTGAGTTCAACGCAAATGTTGAACGCAAAGTTGAACAATGCAAACACTCTTTAAATGTCAGTAAAGACAAGTCTTTTTTGTATAATTTCTGATTTTAATTGCTCAACTTCTTTTGAACCAGAGCAACTGTCAACAATTTCCAACAGTAAAAAGTTACGAATTGGCACAGCAGAAATGTAAAATTTTCTCGCCATAATAAAAAGTTTTTTCAACATGGAACTTTTCTACTAATTGACATGAAATTACTATCTCAACGCTCGGAGCGCTGCCACTGAAGGCCTTTGCCAACTGATTAAAAAGAGAAAATTTGGAAAGACCAAACAAAAATTTTGAGATTTCTCGTTGTGAATACGAATGCCATAGTTTTTACCTAGCTCGTGGGACTACGGAAATTTTGACAGCTTGTAAATATGTATACAAATAAAGTTGTTGGCGGTAATAAGGGGTCAAAATTAAAATGGAGAAAAGAACAAAAAGCGTAGGTTAGTTGTCAGTTATAAAATAAATCCAATTTATTTGCGAATATTTGTTTATTCTTTTTATTTTCTTCTTTTTATTGAAAGGCAACCACTCGGAAAAGCTTGTGTTAATTATATTGATAACAGAACCTGGCAGCTCGCACGTTGTCTAAATTCTCAAGAAAC